TGCATTTTATGCATCGATGCACCGATGCACTGAGAGTCCAACGATCAAAATATTTGAATTTTACACTTGATGCACCGATGCACCTAGGGTATGCATCGATGCATGAGACGCTCCCAACTGAATTTATTAATTGTTTTCACACTTAAACGACTCTATTGACTCCACTAATCATCCCCAACGTTCAAAATCAATTGAAGGTGTATTTAAACAAGTTTAGAAGCCATTGATCAATAACAAGAAACATCAAGCAACTAGAATCAAGAGAGAATCAAAGAGAAATCATCAAACCTCAAGTTTGAGCATTTCAAGCCTATTTTTCATTCAATATTCATTTTGCTTTCAAGAACACTTATTGTGCTCAATTTATTTTTATTCTTGAGTATTCTTTCTTTGTTCTAGAATTGTGCAAACATATTAGCCTTGTGAGGTTTTTTCTTGTAAGTTTGCAAATTTGTAATCTTCTCTTTGAGAAAAGAGTGTTCTCAAAAATTGGGGTATATTCTTGAGGGAGTTGTAAGGTTATCTCTTTGGCCTCAAAAGAAAGAACAAATTAGTGAATTTGTTGGAAAATCCTTAGTGTGTATAGCTAAGGTAGTGGACGTAGACTTTGGTTGATAAAGTCAAACCACTCTAAATCGCTGTGCAATTACTTTCAATTTTCTGCAAAAGCTTTCACAAAATTTTAATTGCCAATTCACCCCCTATTGGTCGATTCCGTCAATCGATTAACTCAACAAAGACGAATGTTAATTGGGAGGTGTATCATGTGGATTGGGTGATGCAGTGGATAGTGAGGCTCGTTAGGTAGCTTGTTTCTGAACCCATTTTGACCTACGGTGTTTCAGATGATTACATGTCGTGGTACAAGCAAAATGGGATGCCACATATACTTAGTGAGGAGGAGCAAACGTGAGAAATTTATAGGCATCCCCCAAACCATCCGCCTAATCAAAGTCACGCGACGTAACGTCATTTGAGGCAATGTAGTGCAAGTCGGAGTTGACAAAAAAACACTCAACCTTCATTACCGAGAATGACACAAGAGCTACCTACAAAGCATCAGACACTTCTGACAGCATCTACATTCACCCACTCGACTCATTTGGCATTTCAGTATATGGCACCACCGACATAAGGTTTTTTCACCGACGCATTTCGTTCATATCCGGCGATCAAATTCCATTCTCATTGCCCTCCTGCACCAGCTGAACCATATTATCCTTCACCTTCGTGTGCATCTGTTAGACCATTGGTAATAGACTTTGGATCTGGCAGTATTGAGCAAAAGCTGTTGCAGAGCATGTTCTACATCGATATTGGTCCTAGTGGAAGTGGTGTTACTAACCATATAGATGAGGGTGATGATGATGGTGGTGGTGGTAGTGGTGGTGATGATTAGAGTGATGATGATGTCCCAGAATATAGATTGATTCGTGGAAATACTTTTCGGACTCGTTGTCCACCACAGTGTTGTATGGGTGGACATAGGCTTAATTAGTTGTTTAAATTTGTAATTTTTTTTAGTTATTCAAAAGAAATTTTCTTTTTTTAGTTAATCAAACCCCATTTTCTTTTTTGTTTAAAAAAAACTATTCAAATATAATATAATGTTCTAGTTTTCTTTTAAAATTTGTTTAAATTATTAATTTGTTTAAGTTATCCTTGAATAGTATAATAATTAGTCGTTCGATTTGATGCATAAACAATTTGAGAATCAACAAACTCAAACAAGATTTATTTTTTTACTAATTTAAAAATATAATTAAAAAAAACTACATGAGTTGTTCAAAGCTCTTTCTCCTGACGTTCACGGGCAATACATAGCAGAAATGGCTCTACGTCATCTTAGTCTTGTGATAACTAAGTTACTCCTTCATTACTTGTTGAATATGGTTCTTTCACAAACGTTACAATCAACTCAATGTTCCTACCACTAACACGTGCGTAAGCCTTAAACAACTTCCGAATGTTGCTTGTATTCGATAAGGTTAATATGTAATGTGCTTCAGTACTGATATTTCACACGGGAACTTTAGCTTGCAACAAACACATCTGTCGTGTTGTAGATTTTTTAAGCTCCGTTAAAATCAAATCATACAACTCATCTTTCTTAATTTTGGCATTAAAAGAAGTGTAGAAACAAGTTCCAGAATAGAACACAGTTGTAGAAAATCTTGCCATTAATATTTATTTTATGAAGGTATTTCATCCAAAATGGACACCAGTTTTGTTTTTATAAACATATGTTATCACTCCTTTTAATGCAACTCATCTTTCTTAATTTTGGCATTAAAAGAAGTGTAGAAACAAGTTCCAGAATGGAACACAGTTGTAGAAAATCTTGCCATTAATATTTATTTTATGAAGGTATTTCATCCAAAATGGACACCAGTTTTGTTTTTATAAACATATGTTCTCACACCTTTTAATGCAAGACTTGTCAAGCCAAATCAAATGTTGCTTCCACGTCAACAATCTCTGCTACGTCAGGAATCTTTGCCATGCCAGGAATATCCTCCACATTAGGATTATCTGCCACGTCAGGAATCCCTCAGTAACTCGCGTTTTACAGAGAGCAAGTTTCTTGCCGCATCAGGAATCTTTTCAAAACTCGTTTTTTGCAAAACATTATATTACTATAAATAAATATCCCCTTGCACTGATATTGTAAATTTTAACACGGTCTATGCTTATAAGAGGCTTTTCTTCTGGTGACACAACTTGGCACTAAACTTATGTCAATATTGGTGTTATAAGTTATGCCACCCGAAGAGAATTCCTTTTATAAAAGATATGGTATTCTTGAAAAAAATGCTTGTTTCATAAATTTCGCATTCTTTGTCAAGCCAACAATGTTTATAAAAGACATTCTCTTCGGGTGGCTTCCTCTGCAACTTGTCTTTTATATGGTATATTTGTATAGTAAATTAAACATGAGTAACATGACCTTCTTGGAAAACTCTACGAAGGCATCCTCTTCTAGTGGCATCATCTACGATTTTTTTCACTAGAGACATTAATTTGACAAATGACACACCTCTACTAGTCTTATTGGTCGGGAAACTAATCGTTTCTAGGAAGACATTCTTTTCAGGTGGCTCCATTGACTTATCGTTCGTGACGTGTATCTAGCAGTGGTAGGCATGACTTTCGAATTCCATATTTATGCATGATCCACTCTCCATCAAGCCCACGGTGTTTCTTAGAAGACATCATCTTCCGGTGGCATCCTCTACTTGAGGCATTAAACCCACAGATGGCACACCTCCTCTCGTTCCCTCAACCATATTGTGTTTTTTCATTGCACTACTTTTATTTCGAAGAATTTTCAACACGATTATTACACTGCTTAAAATGTCTCTTAAGTGTTGATACTAGCCATGTCTATTAAGTCATTTTATCTTGTTCTGTATGCACAAAACCAAGCATTGAATCCATTTTGAGCACGATTATTACACCATATTCAATGTGTATCGGTACGAGTTTCCTCCAATTAGAAATAAAAGGGATCCAAATGCGATTGATGATGAACCTATAATACGTTAAGATTTCACACTACAACGCCAAAAAAGGAGTCGTTCACACTCAACGAGGATTTACTGTGACGAAGATTTGGTCGACCATCGAGAAAGAACAGGACAATCAAAGCTTTGTAGTATTTGTAGGAATCCATTTTAGCATTTCCTTCATGCACAAAATAAGCTTTGGAACCATTTTCAACCTGATTTTTAACCCGCTTGTGATATATTGTATGTCTTTATATTAGCCTCAACTGAAAGATAAATTCCAATACTACGAGAAGAATCTTATAAATTACAAAGATTTCGAGATTAAATATATGAACATGATTATAAGCATTTGTGGTTTGCTGGAAAAAATAAATACCTCGCTTTTTGGAAAATCTGATGTATGTTGAATATTTCTCGTGATAAATTTCTCGGGACGGTTTAATATCTCGGAGACCTCGCATTCTGGGAAACGCGATATACTAAATAATTATATTAAATTAGATAATATGAAAAGTGCACATTACCTCACATCCTATAAAATGTGAGACACATTCTTACGATGAATATGATACGAGGTAGTCCTATGCGTATAATTTAGGGGTATTTTTTTAACAAATCTTCTAAGGGGACTATTATTCAAAAAGATAATTAATGGGGTTTTTAATATAATATTTCCCAATTAAAATATATCAAACACAAGTAGTTACATAATTTTCCCTAGTTTTTTTTCCTTCTTGAGCCGCTCACGCTTTTATATCTTTTGGATTTTCAATTATTAATAATTTTATTTTTGTGGTACGTTTTTTATCGTTTAATTGTTCTTTTTGTTTTTATTATTTTTTAGGATTGGGTTTGACAACACTTTAATCGATCAAGATGACTCTTCATTATTATCCTGATGATCTTTCCTGCTTTGGACCATTAGATTGGAATAAGATATGTGGTTACATTCGTAGATAGTTTCCCATGACACTCGACTCTGATATGTGATTTATCGATGGTCTTTTAGTAATTTTCACCCCTTTTGTGGTTCATTTACCGATGCAATTAGATTTATTTGTATATATCATTATTTGAGTATTTTGGTTGAGTTTTTAACATTTTCCTTGTATAATTATTATATGATCTTAAGTTGTTAGTTTTTTTGCATTACTGATTATAGAAAAATATTCCAATTATATATTTAGGTTATGGTTGTAAACATTCATCGTAATTTTAGATGCTTTCATTTTTAATAAAACTGGAGGCTTCTATATATATATATATATATATATATATGGGCAAATATGACCAAACTTAACAAGTTTGTCGGACAATTTCATGGGGAAAAAACCAGGGGACAATTTCACTGAAGTTGTCACGTTCAGGGTGATTCATGTTTTAAGCCAAATATAAATCCTACAAAAACTAATGTTAATGCAGAACTAATAATATTGCACTTGTGTGTGCCTCTTTCTTGTATTAAATTTATTCGAAAAATAAATGGGGGATAGATCTGTATCCAAGAAATTTACAATCTCAAGGGGAGCATTGAAACAAGCAAAGATGATGTCTCCGACCTTGCTTTATATCCACTAAATCAACATGAATAAAACACCATTGGTAGAAAATAAGTGGTAAAGCAGATTAGCTTTCTTGCCAAAGCAACAAAGCTCAATTGATTCATCGATATTCATCGGCCGATTCGAAATGCTTGTTCCGCAACATTCGCCACCTTTTCTTCTTCTTAGTCCCAAATGCAGGCACATCTGAATATGAAAGATAACATAAACCAAGTATTATAGCATCATCAACAATATACACATATAAGAAACGACTAATCCACAGGTTCCATTACTTCATTTCTTAAATGCCCCTTCCTGTCTACAACCCATGGTTAAAAGCACATATGCTTCGATTTGAAGTCATACGCTAGGTAAGCTTTCCATCAAATACCGATTTGCCGACTCAATTCCGCCACTAAAAGTGATTAACTTGACCTATAATTGAAGCAGTTTTAGAATTCGGAGGGCAGGCTCAGCTGCACTCAATATAATGAACCAGTGCACTTCGAATATTCACCAGCTAGAATGCGTACATAAGAAGTAATTTCCAAGGGCGGTATTTACCTCCAAAAGGATATACTGAGTTGTAGTGCACCTCTGCCCAAAAGCTCAAAAAAATAACTGCAGAAATCGGACCAAACTGATTAATTCGAGATAAGATTTCCACTGAACATCACAATGGTTGGTTATAGTGTATCTTCCTTTTCCTAAAACCGCTAGGTAACAGGTAAGGATAGAAAAACTACATAGAAGATCAGATCAGATCAAGTAACTGTCATCATAAAGACAAACTAAATGGTCATCCTATACCATAAAACAACAGCTTGCATCTCTAAGTCTAACTATTGAATTTGAGATCCAAGAGATGCTCAAATGCCACGAAGAAAACTTAAAACGACATTCAATATATTAATTGCAATCAGAATTGTGGTGATAAACAAGAAAAATAACTTATTCAGGGATTTATATAAACGAAACGCATAGAAGCAAAAGTGATACAAACTAAACCTCGTTTTGACTTTCGGGCATTTGGAAGAATCTCAATGTAACAAGTGTCCTTGAAAGATGTTATGACAAATATTTTAACACCATACTGCAACAAGAAATTAGCATGGATTAGACAGTCAATGTTTAGCATCTTTTAACAAAACTGCAATAACCAATTCATTCTTCTTCCTATATTGTAAACTACAAACCAGCACACAGAAATTGGCATCAACTAATTTTTTCAATGTCTATAGATTCATAAGGAGACAAGATAGATGGATGATTGACTAGGGAAAACTGAGATGGAAGTTCAACAAAATGAATGATATAAATATTTTTAAGGGATTGGGAGGAGGGAAGTGTGGAATCTATCCCGCACCAAAAAAAATAGGTGGAGAATACCGAATCTGCAGCAGCCTGCAAAGTGACATGATCACCCCATTCACCATTCCTACAAGCATCAATATGATGAAGCAAAAATCAAGAAATAAAAAGGAATAATGGTTAAGTCACAGAGGACCAGAAAAATACCTGGACATCTTCTCCAGATAATCACCATATGCCATGGGAACATAGCCCTCATATATATCTGGATAAGACTCAAGCTGATTATGCAAGATACATCATGAAAAGAAAAGTTAAACATCAAAATTTACAAGCAATGCACAATGATTTCAACAAAAGACTGTAGCCAAAAGAAGGCCAAACTTTGTTATTGTATGTCAAAAGCGAACCTGATTTACAACTTGCTGTCTCACAAACTCATGATGCTTAGGAGTTCGATAAAATTGATCAGATAGAGCACCGAACTGGCGATAACATGAAACTAATGAGACATCGAGTATATAATTTACATTAAGCGCTGCAATAACAATTAGTGAGCTTCCACAACCACCTAAAAGAATGTCATGGGGCAAAATTAATCACAAGTTCAAGATCTAGAAGCATCATGGAGGGATGAGATTTATGTCAATAGCAGCATTTAGAAGTTTTACCATTAAGGGAGTCAAGACCTTGAATAATGTTAGAAAGGAACCAATATCGACAGACATTCATGCTTTTATATGGATACATGAGATTTGCGTTTGCATAATGACAGCCTAGACAACTTCAATTATGCTGATGCTATATGCGAGAAAAACATTAAAATGATGCTAGCTTTATTGATGTCAATATCCATGCTTGCAGCTTTAAAGCTAACCTGACAGTTACCATCTCCTTCAACTTTAAGCTCCACTAAATTATAGATTTCCAATCTGTTGTAGCAAAAGAATTTCCAGAACCATATATTCAGCAAATAGGTCAAAGGGGAAAACGAGAAAAGAAAAGGCAAACCTTTCTAGTAGCCTTTGATGATATAAAGTTGCTTCATCAATCGAGGGTAAGTACAAGACAATATATATTATAAGATAACTCTCAACCTCTTAAAATATTAAACGCTCACACCCCTGACATTCTCGGTACTTGAACCGGGTCTCAAGGAATAATAACCGCTTTTTTACCATAGAGACCACTCAATATGTGGAAACCCTTTGGATTAAAACGCACTACAAATGCTATATATATTGAATACTAGTTTAACCTTAAATTTTTATTATTTTATATATCTTAAATTAAATTAACATATTAATGAAATTAACATCTAAACATTAAAAATATATATTTTATTCTTATTTTAACATAAAAATATATTTTAATTTTTATTAACTTTAAAAAATAATTTATCCTTACCTTAACTTAAATATTTATATTTATTATAATAATATTTTAAAATTAAGATAAAAATAAAATATATTTTTAAATTAAAACAAAATTAACATAAATATTTTTAAATAAAAATAAAATATATATGTTAAGTTAAAAATAAAAATAAAATATATATTTTATATTAAAATAAGGATAAATTATATTTAATAATTTAAGGTAAGACTAGAATATATTTAATAATTTAAGTTAAGAATATAATATATTTAATAAGTTAAAATAAAAATAAGATATATTTTTAAAAGTTAAGATAAAAAATATATATTTTTAAGTTATGGTAAGATTAAAATATATTTTAAGCTAAAATGAAAATAAAATATATTTTTGATGGAATAATTTTATTTTAAATTATTTAATATATTTTATAAAATATATAAAATAGATTTTTTAAAGTTAAAATCAGAATAAAATATATTTATAGTTAAGATAAGAATAAAATATTTTTTTAATGTTTAGATGTTAATTTAATTTAAGTTATATAAAATAAAATAAAAATTAAGATTAAACTAGTATTCAGTTATAACATTTGTAGTGCGTTTCAATGCAAAGGGTTTGCTTGGTTCAGTGGTTAAACTGATGCTTTCCCGCCTAAAAGACCCAAGTTGGATTCTCTTGCTCCCCCATTTCAACTTCTTTAATTTTCTTTCTACACTTTCACCCTCTTATTGGTGCGAAATAAAATTATTAAATTAAAATAAAGTAAATTCCCATCGAATGGTGACACATGGCACGATCTGATTCGAAGATTAAATTTATTTAATTTGTTAAAATTAAGACCACATTGATATATATATATATAAGTAATAGTTACTAAATGTAATTTTACCAATTTTACTAATTTTCATGTCATATCTTCTATTAACTATTAATGACTAGTGGCTTGATTGAATATATTTAAATAGTTCGATGGTCTGATTGATAAGAATTCAAAAAATGGTGGTCAAAATAAAAAGGGGCTATAGTTGGTGATAATTGGTATAGTTTATCCTAAAATAAATTAAATAACTAAAATTAATAAAATATCCTCCAATCTAGTAGTGATACATGACCTAATTGGAGGTTAAATTTATCAAATTGAATTAAAATTATGACCAGGTTGAAAGAATGTATAAATATCGAGGACCAAATGTGTAATTATATCAATTTTTAACTGACATGTCATCGATTCTGTTAAATGTTAACGGCTAGCGGTCTGATTGAATGCATTTAAATAGTTGGGTGGTCTGATTGACAAGAATTCAAAAATAGTGATCGAAATGAAAATGGGCTGTAATTGGGTGGTCTTTGATATAGTTTACCCTTAAAAATTAAAATATTGTATATTTTTATATATTTTTATTAAAAAATTATTTTTATATTCTAAAATTTTATAATTTCGTTTTCTTAACGTAAAATCATATACTCGTCTTTGATTGCGAAGCCTAGTGGAAAAAGGGATAGAGTATAGGTGGTTGGTAAGTTTGGGGTGAGTGAGGAAAGGTAAGGGGAAATGATAGGGGTGTTTACGTTCTTGTATCCATAATTTTAACCGGACAACGTACTAGCAAAAGTTAGTTGAGAAAACGATTAATGTTTGAACCTATTAAAATGCTTAAATATTTTCGTGTTAAGTTTATGTGTGATTTTTTTATTACAAATTATATAATTTTAAAATATTTACAGAAATAAATATATAATTTAATTTTTTTATTGAAACTTCGGATTTTTTTTCTTTTTTTCTTTCTAAAAGGTAATTTTAGCCTCAATAAAAACTCCCTCTAATCTTAAAAGGGGAAAAAGAATACCCATAATAGCATTTATTAATTAAGAGGAGAAGCATATACAATCTAGATCAAGATACACATAAATCATAATGTTATACTACCCCATGAAAACATCAGTTACAATCAAATACGTGAAAATTGGAACCTTAAACAACAATAATGAGGATTAAGGGTGTGCATTATCGGATATCGAATATTATCCGATCCGAATTTTTGGATATCTGAAAATTTCGGATACCTAAAGTAATGATCCATATTCGATTCGAAAAAATCAGATATCCGAAATTTTAGATCGGATATCCGAATATCCGTATCTGAATCTGATTTGAATAGTACATAGATTCAACAATCAAAAGCACCAAAAATAAAAATAATAACACACACTTAACATCGAAGATCTTAACATTTTCATACGAAACTCAGTTTCGCAAATTTTAACTAACAACGAATAGCTCGAGATTGTAAAGTAGAACTTCACAGAATTTGAATATGCAAGCAAAGAATATGTCGAAACGATTTTTAACGGTACGGGGCGAGATTTTGGAAACCATATCATTTTTAATTATTCTCTTTTAAATTGAATTTTTAATTAAAAACAATGTGATTTTTATAAAACCTCTCGTTTCGAAAATTTGAAAATCTCTTTACGATAAAAACATATGGTTCGAGGAGTCGCCACCAATATTTGATTAGGGTGTGATTGGACACCAAAAAATGTTGCCATTTTAAATAAAAATTAATTTTAATTAAAACGACAAATTTGTGGTCTATGTTACCAAAATATGGGTTCGACGCGTGGGGAAAGATTAGCACCCCACAGCGCCCTAAATCGGTACATCGTCGATTAATTAATGTCTTTGCAACGAATTTCACAATTTCGAATTTAATTTGATTTATGATCCCTTAAAACAACAAAAATGCAAATTTTATAACATTCAATAAGCAATAGAATAGGTTAAATTAAAATTACCTAGCCATTAGAAAGATAAAGAATATTCGATTATTTAAAAATATCGAGACCAGCCCTTTATGTGAGTTCTAACGATCTTTTTTTCAACAAATTTAAATAGCCGAATATTTCTTTTTCTTCCGTTCCCAAATTTTAAAAGTCATAAATCAATTTCTTAGGTGTCACTAATGGGATATACTTTTAATTTAAAATCATCAAAAGCGGATATCTAATCAGTTAAGACAACCCACTTAAACAATTTTAAATTAAAAGGATATTACCCTTAGTTAAATTATGTAATCGTGTCGAGTTATGCATATGAGGATATCATGCAAATTATGCAAAAAGGATGTCATGTAAAAATTAATTAAACATGCGATTAAAATAAATGAGTAAATAAATCTAAAGCTAAAATCACTATTAAACAAAGATAAAAAAAAAACAAATCAATACATTACATATATTAAAATCAAAATAAACCCGAGACTGCCTATAAAACTAAAATATGTCTGAAAATGTACATAGAAAATGTAAAAACAACAGAAAACTCACAATAACTGGGTTCTGGTACTAAAATGCCAATTAATCAAAATTACATACTAAATGCAAAAATAAACAAAAATTTAACTTGACTAGAACAGGGATCAAAATAAAACATTTGGTAATAAATGACATAAACAACCATTTAAAAATAATATAATTATAAATAAATAAAAGATAAACACACATATTATTATGTAATATTTGAAGAAATTTTGAAGGAATCAAAACACCCTTACACACACTACGTGTTACATACATGAATAACTACAAAGGTCTTAAATATAAGAAAAGAAAACTGCAGACCTCAAAGACAAAATAATTGAAACTCAAAAGGTGTAATAAATATGTGATTAAATTAAAAATACCATAACTAAGAGGCCCAAGTACGAACACAACAGCAACACATAGTTAAAAGCATAAATATCATAAAACATATATACTGCCTATAGAATATACACAAAATTTAAATAAACTAGCTTTGAGGATAAAAAATAATGCGTATAGAATTAAAGGGAACCAATCTAAAATTTTAAAAGCCTTGATTTGAGGATCGAATTGCATTAAACGTGAAACAAGGTGTAGCTCTACACAGACAAACCCAAGTGCGGTGACTAAACCATAATTTACCCTAAAAATATATAAAACCTAAATAACCTAAACTTAAGCATCCCAACTTTACGCAGAACATGTGCACAGCTGTCTCCTTTCTTTCCACACTCCATTTTTCTCTCAACCACGCACAGCGCCGCTCTCAACCTCACTCACTGGTATTCACACTCGATCGAAACCTCAACTACCTTAGAATGCTATGAACCAACGCTGCTACATACTCTAACACTCTTCAAAAGCCAAGGTAAACAATCCTAAATTTCTATTCCCATTTTCTGGTTTTGAAACTATATTAGGAAAATGCCTTTAAAAATGAAAAATGGACTTCTCTTTGATTTTATTTCTTGTGTGAATCGGATGAGTAAGAAAATTGATTATATTGCTTTATTTTTATTTCTAATATCTAGTTCATTATTCTTGCTAAGGGTACTATGGGCTCTGTCGATTCTCTCTCGGGTTTCCCTCACCGATCGACTAAACTAGCAAGGCTCCCTATTCTCACCGACAAAGACTATATGTAAAGGTAAGAAATTTGCCCTCCTTTTTTTTTACATTCGTTTCAAAACAAGGACACGCACACTGTAAAGTAAAAAAAAAACTAAAATAAGAAAATACCATATTAAATCTGTTTTATATTAAAAAAATGGGAAAACCCATGGTTTACAACGATGACGGATTCGGCTATTGGGAACAGCAGCTCTTGTTGATACTCCCCATATTTCCTTCAAAGAAAAACCCAGCAACCCTTTTTTTTGGAATTCCCCTTTTTAATCATCACCCTCTCTGTGTTACTTTTTTTCCCTCCTTTTTTCCTACTTTTTTTTGTTCTTCGAATGCTTCCTTTAATCTGTCTCTATTTTGTCTTTGTATGCGTGATTGTTGGATGCTGAATGATTGATGCGGTAAGTAGAAATCCTGAATTTTCGAGGTTTAGGTAAGAGATTGGTGGGATTTGTTTTTTTTGACTTTGTTGTGTGGGTAACTGATTTATTTTTGTTTTCTGTCTTGTAGCTGACTTAAGTGTGACTCAATCAGGGGTGCCACCTCGCGTAGCAGCTGATGAGGAAGGGGACCATGTGTGCTTGATTGTTGCATTCGTGGTGACCTTGGAGACCTTGGACCTTGCATGAGGTGGGTGTAACAGGGGATTACATCTTGTAATTAGGCTTCTGTTGATCTTTGTAATTGGGCCTGCAAATAGTTGTAATAAATATTAATAATAAATAATAATAATAATAATAATATTTATATTTATAATATTTTTAAGCCCAGTCAAAAACGGGTGTCTACAGAATACTTAACCCAAAGTTCAGAAGTTTTAATATATTAACAATTTCCAAAAAAATCTCCCCGGCAATACAAAATAACAAGCAAATATCTTCGAGAAAGTAGATCTAGAGCATAAAGGGTATTGAATATAAATTCAACTTTTTTTTTGAAAACTCAATCATTTTAGAAACCAAACCAAAAACAACAGACTATACCCTCCCAGATGCAGTAGCAATCAACAAGCAATCCAAAAATGCCCCAATTATAAATTTGCACCGAAATTAATGGCATGTGACCTAAATCACCGGGGGAATCAGAAAAAGCCCTAAAAGATAGAGCTTTGAGAACAGAAGTAAACACAATCATCGTAACAATTTCATAAAACCTATTTAGAGAGGAGGCGAAGAATTTCTAGCCAAAATTTCCAACTTGAAAGAGTCGGAAGAAATCACAGAAGAAATCGCAGAAGAAACTTGATTGGAGAAAGAGAAAGGAAAAAGGAAAGAAAGAAAGATACTTGTTACTTTCGCACTAATACCCGTATTTCTTTGGGTTTGAGTTTGAAAGAATGCATATAGGCTATAGCCCAAACTGCTCTGGGTTTAAAACATATTAAAATAGCACAAATTATTTTCGGGTTTTCGGATAATCCGAAACTGATTTTTTATCGATCCGTATTCGATCCGAAAATTTAAAAAAAAATTGGATATCCGATCTAAATTATCCAAAAATTAAAAAATAGATCGGATATCTGAATTTTTTGATCAATCAATGGATCAACAGATCAGATCGGATTTTTTTACAAACCCCTGAAAGAGTCAGCCCAATTATTGCACTTACGAGGGATCCACCTTACCAATATACCTCTATCATTAATTAGACCAACCAGATCCGAGACCAACCTAAGAAGATCTGCAGGGGGATCCAAAGATCGTAAAAATCATTCCACTACTGTTTTACAATCAAATCCAATAATAAGCATGAAATTAGCAGGATCACGGTATAGTCCCTTTAAATGAGTATAGGCGGTTTTTCCCCCCAATACCCCATGCGGGTTAATTAATTGACCCAAAAGGGCCTCCTAATTTTTTTATTTTGAAGAATATGATATTTTTTACAGTGTCGTTTTCTAGAGATATTTTTTTAATAGATCCGAATGAGTGAATCTTACGTGGGTTATTAATTTAATGTAATTAATAAGACTTGTCATCTCAAGTTGACGAGTCTATTTAATTTTTTTTTTTAAATTAGAAAAGTAATTTAAATTTTAAATTCTAGAAAATTAATGGATAGAAGTGACGAATTCCTTCACATTAAAAAAACAGTCTTTTATAGCCGTTAGTTAACGGGCAACAACAACGACTATAAACGGCTATATTTTTTGAATTCGAGGAACCATTATTTCTTTTAAGTTTCAAAATTTAAATTATTCATATACTTCTTTAATATTGTAACATTTCTCGTATTCCACAAAACAAAAAGCCGGGTGCATGTAACCCTAAATAAAAAAACCCAAATGGTCTATTGGGCCAAAAAACCGAGCATAGGCTTTTTTATTGATAGCGTTTGATTAGTTAATTATCTCTGTTAGTGCTTTTGATTAATTAATTGAATACTTAAATCTTATTCCTTAAGTTCGGACAAGCTCAAACACTGATATATTTTTTAATCTAGATTAATAAAGTTTTTTCCTTCAAACCATTAAACTAAATTTTATATTTTAAAATTCACATATTTTTAAAAAATTTAAATGTTATATAAATTGTTAATATATTTTTAAAATTTAACATAATACTTAAAAAAATTTAATCTGTGATGTCATTAATTTAATGAAAGCTAATGTGACTTAAAGTCAATTGAAACAATAGTTAATCAAAGATTATTAGATGGATCTGACTCATCACGCTATCGATAATTCTAACTAATAATATTTATCAGTCTTATTTTTTTAAGATAATTTTTTACTATTTTTTTATATGTAAATAAAAAATAAATATTTATTTAAAAATTATTTTAAAATTTATAAACTTGAAACCATAAATAATATAATAAACCAGATCTATTAAATAATTCCTCGTAGTTAAAGGAGTTTGCTGGCAATAAAGAAATGTGGCGAGCAAGACAAGAGACATGTGTCCGATAGTAGAGAAGGGATGTAGATTTATGTCTCCGACTATATCTTACATTATCATTACATTTGTTTGGGTTCAAGGTTGTCCTTTTGCTTTTGTTAGATTAGACCCGTCGGTGACGGAAAATTTAAAAAAAAAATCCACATGTTTTCAATTTCACTATCAAAATAATAGTTTATCTCTTGCGCTAAATTTATCATTTATTGCTTTTAAATGATTTAATTTTTCAACTTTAATTTTTATAATTTACTATTGATAACAATAAAAAAACATTTTAAATAACTTTCAATTAAATAGCTTTTTTGTTGAATGATTTTTTTATCTTTCTAGTTTATTTATTTAATATTTTATTATAATTTTTTATTTTCAAATACAATAAATTAATAAATAGTCCATATTTGTTGAAATATTTGTTTTTATCACAATATAAAAGTAAACTAAAATTGTTTTAAAGTAGAGCTTATAACAATATTTTAACAAAAATAAATAATTTTTGAAATAAAAATTTCAGTGATGCGAGGGAAAATAATAAAATAATTAATACTAATATTTTATTAATAATGAAATAAATTTATTGATAGGCTTTACTTGAGTTAATTTGATAAAAATAAAATTTTAATAATCAAAAAAAATATAATAAAAACAAAGAATTAAAATAATTGAATTTATAAAGTTAACAGACCAAAGTAATCATTTAACATTCTATAAGAAATAAAAAATAATACACTTTTATGATATCTAGAATAATTATAATTATTTTTCTAAAAAATATCATAAAAATCAAATATCATACTTTAGTGATTTTGTCTAATTATTTAGAAGAGGAAGAATGAGGATAATAATAAGACCCTTTTCATCAATAGCCAAGAGAGATTTATAGTGATTTCGTCTAATTATACCAAATATAGAATCGTTATGGTTATTGTAGACCGAAAGATTCGACAAAGAATCGTTATCGTTAGTACTCGAATCGTAACCTCTAAGAATAACAAAGATTCCTTATATCTCTCTTAAATGATAACTTATTTAATATTTTAATTTTGAATCCAATAATTAGTTTTAAATTGAAGCTTGATATATCTCTCTTAAATGAATACTAAAAAATCAATATATTAAGAAATAGGGCAAAATGTACAAATGGTCCCAGATTATATGATATTACTTTATAAAGTATCATATATATTAAAAGTTATAAAATAGTCCTTCGATTATAGGGAGTTACTCTGTTGAGTTCCTTAACTATTAAAAGTTACAAAATGGTCACTCTACTGTTCATTATGTTCCAAACTCATCATTTTTGGTTAAAAAATCAACGACAATTTGAGTTGTACGTTAACATATTGACTAAGATATGATAAAATCTAATCTCATAATCTCAAACGACTATCATATCTCAGTCAACATGTTGACATTAAGCTCAAATTGTCGTTGAATTTTTAACAAAAAAATGATGATTTTGGAATATAATGAATAGTCGATAGATTATTTTGTAATTTTTAATAGTTGAGAGACTTAACGAAGAAACTCTGTGAAACTATATTTTGATATAACAGTTAGGGCAAAATTTTTTTGGACTTGAATTGAATTTATTCAAAGTTTTCAAAAAATAATTAAAGTCCATTTAACTTGGAATTGAGAACAAAATGTTTTTCTGGACAAGAAGTACCGATACTGTTCTTACAATATTGATACCTCATGAACAATACTGATATTATTCATATGGTACTGATACCTTAGGTAAGGGAAGTATCGATACTCACTAGGTAGTACAATTACTGCCATCATTGCTCAAATTCCAGAATGCAAAAATAGTATTGATTTCCAAAGGGGTACCGATACTATTTTACATAGTAGCATCGATACCATAGGCATAGTATCAATACCATCAGACCCCAAACGACTCCTAATCATTCCCAACGACTATAAATGACCACAACTTCATTCCAATATATAAATACAAGTTGAGGACACTTGAAGAAGGGTGAGAACACCTATCCAAGCAATCAAACACAAGAGAAGAGTTTTTCCAATCTTATTTTATCTCTCTTGTAAATATTAGTGTTTTAGTGAGTTGAATTTGTAAACACCCTACCTTTAAGAGGTTATTTTGTTTACTTCTTTTTACCTTTTGTAAAAAGGGATTGATTTTATCTTAGCCAAGTGAAAAGATAGGGAGTGTAAATTTTATCTCTTGATCCTTGAAAAAGAAAGAACAAATTAGTGAATTTGTTAGAAAATCCTAAGTGAGGAGCTTAGGCAGTGGAAGTAGACTTGGTTGAGAAGTCGAACCACTATAAATTTCTTGTGCCAAATTTCTCTATCTTTTACTCTCCTTATTCCCTAAACAAATTTTTGTCAATTCACCCCCTTTCAATCTTTTGGTTGATCAATTTAAGCTTCCGGAAATCCTAACAAACTCCCTATAATCGAAGGAACATTTTATGAATTTTAATAGATAACGGACTCAATAAAGCATTTTCCTATAAATAGGGAATCATTTATGTACTTTACCTTAAGAAATAATATTTTTACTTTAAAACACGTTGTGTATTATTTTATTGGGTAAAATACAAATTTGGTAACTGAACGTTACTCTCTCTCTTATTATACTTTTTGTACTTTAAATATTTTCAATTTTCTCACTAAACCTAATACATTGAGTTTTTTTTTTATCACTCAGCTGTTTCCCCACTAATGAAGTTATGACGTGATTTTTTTACCAAAAATTTCAATGCATATAGTTCAATGATTAAATTGAAAAAAAATAGAAGTATAGTGAGTGAAATAGGAGAGATAGAGAGAGAGTAAAGTTCAGTGATTAAATTTATAATTTACTTATTAAAAAATCACGTCATAACACCGTTAGTGAGGAAACAACTGTGTGACTAAAAAGAATATAATGCATTAAATTTAGTGAGAAAATTGAAAAAAATTAAAGTACAATGAGTGAAATAGGAAGAGTAAAATTCAATTATCAAATTTGTAGTTTACCCTCTTCATTTAATGGCCGTAGTTAGTTAGGGATGTTGATTTGGTTTAAAGTAACGAATTGAATTAATTAAAATTTATTTTATTTGAATAAAAAATAATTTATTCTAATAATTAATAAAATATGAAAATAAGCGAATTTAAATTGTTTTGGTTAGTTTAAAAGGATATATATTTTTTGTTTTGAAATTTATCTGAATAAAGTTATGGTTGCTTTTTGTTATTTACCTTATTTAAATCACTCAATAAAAATATAAACCAAAAAGAGAAAAACTGTAAAAGAAAATGTATTTTGTGTGAAGTCCTTTTCTTTATTCCCCTATCTTTTCCTTAATTACACATGAAAGGTGTTTTCTTTTCTAAAAAAAATAATAATTACAATTTGAATTTTTCATCCCTCTTCTCCTTTTTTAAATTACTTAATTGCCACACCTCGATGCTCGTGCTTATAGAACGTGGCCCATAGTTCCTTCCCCACAAGCATTCAGTTTACAAAATGTATTTAAAGTCCCTTCTCCTCTACCCAACTTCGAACCGAAAAGAGACGCGCTGTAATTAAATACCCCAAACGAGGTTAAAGTTGTCTTTTGACACCGGTTCTCTCTTCCCGCGAGCGAGAGAAAGAGGACTCGTGGAAGCTTTGATCGCGTGATGCGTGGTGTTGTGTGATAACAGGGCCAGAACATGGCTACGCGAAAAACCCTTCCTCTCTGCCGTATATTTTCACTTCTTCGAAATAACGGTTCTAGGATTTCATGATTTATGCGAAGAGAAATCAAACATTCTAACCCTAACGATCTCTACTTTTTTTGTTCTTTCCCATTTGATCACCCTTTTTCTTCTTGTTTTTTTCGGCTGATTTCACTGTAAATATATTCTGGTAAGATTTGTTCTCGTCTTCTTCGATGATTTTCCTGCATTGCATCATTTCAGAACGTTGACGTTTTGTTTTGTTTTTTTTTTCTTGGATGAGCGGAGATAGAGGTAGAGAGATGCGAGAGTTAGTGAAGGTGTTGTACATAGTAGTAGTGGACGAAGATGAGAAGAATGGTAAGGATACGTCGTCGTTTCGATACACTCGTTCCGTTCTTCAGAGTACTCTCCAACTCATGGGCTGCAAAGCTCGTCATGCTTTCAAGGTTTGTCTTCCGTTACTTCTATTCTCTTAATAATTGATTTACGATTTCGATCGATGAAATTTGTGGATTTACGATTTCGGTTGATAGAATTTGTTTGTTTCTTTTATACTTTTCTTGGATGGGTAAAATTATAAATACCATATAGTAGATTAAACTGCGGCCGGTTAGTTTATGGATCTGTATTACTTATAACTTGTTCTATAAATTTCCTTTCCTTTCGAGATTTACATTTTTTTCGGGATGTAATGGTAAGTCCCGACAGTTTGATAGTAATATATGTATATATACCTTCTCTATTTATCCCCAAAAATAAAATAAAGTTCAGCATCTTGTCGCTGTCATAAAATAATGACTGAATATTTATCTCATTAGATTTTATGGTCTTACTTGTTTCTGCCTTTCAGACCTTTGTGAATGATCGAAATCAATTTGGATCAAATCAGTTTTGATCTGTTTATCATTTTTGTTGATACATTTGCATTCTAGATCCTGTTCCACCATGTGGTCCCATCATCGTTTTCTGAATTGCCTTAAATTAATTGCCTTGTAAAAGCATATGCATATCAAGGTTGAGAGTCTTTTCCTCAATCAGACGCCTTCATTGAATTCTTATTATAATCTATACTGATCCGATTCTCTGTCGTCCAGTCACTGTTGACATTATTATTATTTTAGCGTTAATAATTTTAGGTTTGGAGTTTTGCATGTCGTTTCAAATTTAATTTTCTAATTTGACATGATTGTTTTTCTTTCACGTTTCTACAAATCTTACGGCAAGTGAATCCTTATTCTTATTGTATTGTTTGTATTTCTTACCAGATTAGCCAGAGGGTTTTTGAATTGATAAGAAATGAACCGTTTTATGACTCTCTCCTTCATGAGGGAAGTGAAACATTAAGTTCTGATGGTCTCAAAGGGAACTCTGAGAAGGAAGATGTTCGATCCACCAATGGTGGCTTTCATCGAGCAGAGGCAGGAATCTATTTAGTTTCAGATAAAAATGATCGAAATAAGAGTATACCATTCGAGTTGTACAAAAGGCGCACGTCAGTTATTGTTAGAAGGGAAACTTTCTTTGATGTTGTTTGTGAAACTCTGTCTGAATATAAGTACGTGGGCCCTAACCAGAGAGCTGACTTGGTTTTGGCATGCAGGTATCGTGCAACTGGGACATCTTATACCTACCCAAATATTTTGCACTGAACATGTCCTGTAATTGATTGCTTGCATTTTGAATCTGCAAATATTCCTTCAAAAGAAATCTGGTATTTTTTTGAGCTTGTAGATTGGTAACTCCTTTCAGATATTCTCTCTTTATTTGACATGATTTTTTTTCATAGAACATATTTCAAGTGAGACTATTAAAATGAGTTACTCCAGCAAAATTTCCGTTGTTTGCCAATTGTACTATTCATCCTTTCAGTGTTTTTGCCAACAAGAGAGTTCATCATCGCAAGTATTGCATAATATTTGAATGTAACATGTTTATTTATCTTTAATGCCTAGCTGTTGCAAATTTACATTTATGATATGATCCAGGATTGTGATGGTTTTAGAATGGTCTTGTTCAATGTCCTTTGCTTGCATCAGATGCAAGAACGTTCTTGTTTCTCATTGTAACTGTATTTGGTCTTCACTGCAGAATACGAGAGAGGAAGGAATCTGTAACTGTGCTGTTGTGTGGTACTAGTGGTTGTGGAAAATCTACTTTGTCTGCTTTGCTGGTATATTTTCATATTAGTGTTGTGGCACTAATGTTTGTGACTGCCATCACATAATAGCTAATCTTGGTGATTTGATATGTTGTGCAGGGTGGTAGGTTGGGAATTACAACTGTGATTTCAACCGACTCCATTCGCCACATGATGAGGAGTTTTGTGGATGAGAAGGAGAATCCTCTACTTTGGGCTTCAACTTATCATGCTGGGGAGTGCTTGGATCCTGTGGCAGTTGCAGAAGCAAAGGCTAAAAAAAGGGAAAAAAAGTTGTCTGGCATTGCTCAATCACTTGTTAGGGACGAAGAAGCTGATGGTTCTTTTTGCAAGGGGGGCCGGGCAATGGATTGTGGTTCTACTAATACCGACTTGATCAGTTCCAAACAGATGGCAGTTGAAGGGTTCAAGGCACAAAGTGAGATGGTAATCGACAGTCTAGACAGACTAATTACTGCATGGGAAGAGAGGAAAGAGTCTGTGGTTGTTGAGGGTGTTCACCTAAGCCTTAATTTTATTGTAAGTATTCATTTTTTTGGTTTCCTGTATCAAAAATGTTTTGTCCTGAACTTTGTTTATTCTTATATCAATTTTTGATCTTGTCCAGATGGGGCTTATGAAGAAACACCCTTCAATCATACCATTCATGATTTACATTACAAATGAAGACAAACACTTGGAAAGATTTGCAGTTCGTGCGAAGTACATGACGTTGGACCCTGCTAAAAATAAGTATGTAAAGTATATAAGGAATATCAGGACGATACAGGATTATCTATGTAAACAAGCAGACAAGCATTTGGTCCCCAAAATAAACAACACAAACGTTGACAGAAGCGTGGCAGTCATACATGCCACTATTTTCAGTTGCCTCCGCAGGTATGAAGCTGGGGAGCCACTTTATGATCCTATAACAAACACTGTTGCAGTGGTTGATGAGGAGTATCGGAGCAAGTGTGCTGCCAATTCACTAAGCTCCAAGGGAATGTTTCAGTTGATCCAGAGGAATGGTTCTTGTAGGCAACTGATGGCCCTTCTTAACACTGATGGTTCTGTAGCAAAAGCTTGGCCAGTTGAATTGGTTGATAGTAATGGAAAACCTATATCTGGCCATGGGACTGCGGGTGGAATAGGCATTCCCTTGTATGGACCATTAAAATTTGGCAGGGCTGAACCTGTTAATCTTCAATTCGGTCACTTTGGAATTAGTGCCTGGCCTAGTGATGGTGGTACAAGCCGTGCTGGAAGTGTGGACGAATCAAGATATGATGGTACCGATAATGGTAGTAGGTACGAATCTTCTTGCTGTAGCTCACCAAGGATGTCCGACGGTCCGGCAAAAGAGGTAGCCTTTTTTACTATATGTGTTTCTTTTCCGAACACTCTTTACCAATGATTTAGTTACTGTTGTCATGTATATTTCAAAGTAGATGAAAGTTACCTTTAATGCTAACAGTGTGGATATTTCATGCCGTGCTTATTTTGCACTTGGTTTACCGGTTCTCTTTCTCACAGCTGAAGGAGGAAAATTCAGTGTATGACAGTGATGAAGAAGTTGACGATCCACCTGAGGTAGACAGTGATGAGGATATTTGTGATGACGGTGACCAAGAGGTCCATGAGGAGGTATGTACTTGTCTAGACTTACAGTGGGCGATATATATAAATATAAATATAAATATAAATATATAATTACATTGATTCCAGGGATGAAGTTGCAAAGCAAACTACATTGCAACCTGCCAAGCAATTTACTTGCTTTATTTCGAGTGGATTTTGCTCTAATTTTTCTTCAATTTCTGTTCTAACAGGTAGGATCTGTGGATGAAGGCTCGACAAAGTCGGATGAAGAGTACGATGATTTGGCATTGCAAGATGTGATGAAGAATGGCTACTTCCCTGATGATGAAGAATTCCATCATGATAAGATAGTGGCATTTTGTGGGGATCAATTGACATTCCCTAGAACTAGAAGTATAAGGAAACAGTTTTCGGAGCCCCAAAGCTCTTGGTCTTCCGTCCTTTCGGAGAAGATGGAGAAGGGAGTGGCAGCTTTTGGCAATGGTAAAAATAAAGTGCGAAAACGATCCCTCAGCATTTCCACCTTGGGGAAACGTGGGTCCATAATTGGCGATCCCATGCTTTTTGGGGCCCATGAGAGATAGATAGCAACACGCTACTAATAGTTTAGTTTGATGTTAACTTTTATGGCTCGTTAGTTTCTGGGTAATTTAATCCTAGTTGCTATCACTGTGTTGTGATGCTTCGGAAATGACAATGACCTTTCCTGTTATTTTTTTTTTCTTTTCAGCGATTTAATGTTAGTTTTTGGTTTTTGATGCATGCCGTAATCAGATTTTGGGTTCAAGTTCACCCCGAGTAAATTAGGAACTAATAATCAATGTACTGGTTCCTAATACTCGGCATCTTTTTTCAAATGGGTAAACTATATAAATGGTTTTAAAAGGGTAAAAAGTATAAATAGTGTAGTGGTGATCTGTGATCATAAGTAAATTTTTTTCTCTATTTATACTTCAGTTATTCAATATTAACAATCTTTATTGCAAGTGTTTGAACTAATTATTACAATGATTTATTGGAGGCCAAATCCTATGGTTAGTACTTATATTATGAACAAGTTGTTAGTTTTTTGTTGGTCTCCCGATCCTAAGGTTTTACCAGTACTCTAGACCGACCGCCATTACATACTTGATTTTGGTGGGTGAGTCTTGACGAAATACTTTATGCGGATTAAATTCATAATTTAGACCTAACTTTTAGATTCAACGAATTACTACTATTTAATTAGTGACTCTGCTGAGTAGAAATCACTATCTAAGAATGAACTCATTTTTGTCATAATTATAAAATTCAGATATTAAAATAGTTGTAAAATTCATATATATAATTCTTTCACACTATAACTGGTATTTTAAGAATATTTGTAAAATTCAGATATGAAAATGGTTAAAATATAAATGTAGTCAAATTTAGATAGTAAGGTGTTCTAATGGGAAAAAAACCATACTAATAATTGTGCATTGCAAATTTTAAGCTCCGCCCTGAAAATTTTGTTTATGACTGAAAAAGTTCCTTTCAATTTTCCTCTTATAGATATTATTTTGCTGAGATCTAATCTCAATATTTTTAATTATTGAGAGATTTTACAAGAAATAAGGGTTTATTAATTAGTAATTATTTTTCCTTCGCTTCATTGATGCTTTTAATAAAAGCAATATTCAGGGCAGATTCTCCTGCCACTGGCTGGAATTTTTCTCTTCATTCTCAGGGTAAGCGACACTCTTTCTATGTATTTGATTCTTTCCCTCTCTTTCTTGCTTATTTTCTGAAATCCCATCTCGTTACTGTTTGCTGAATTTTATTTGCTCATGGTAGAATTTTGGGCTTTTTTTGTTTTCCCAAGTTTTAATGTTTCGGGTCAGATTTAACCTGGGTTCGCTTTAGCTTTGATGGTAAGCTTCAAAGCTTGGTGAGATTGACAAAATTATTCAACTATTTTTGCGTAAAGTTTGGGACTGGGGTTTCTTTCAAGCTGAAACGTGGAATTGAAAAGCTGGGACTTTCGGTGATTGAGGTCGGTCTCTATCATATTGTTATTGAACAAACTAATTTCTTTGGCTAGAAATTGGATTCTTCCGTATAGCTTTATTTGAAATTTTAGGTTGTGTCCGCTGTTTTTAGAATGCTTTTATTGAGCTGAATTCTTTGGGTTCGTATAAGTTATGTGGATTATACGAAGCTTTGCATTGTATGCTTCGAAGAAATTGATGGTATTTTCATTGTTGCGATGAGTTGCATTTAGAATGCTTTGTTTATGAGTTGCTCGGAATTAATGCTTTGCTGAATTATGGAGATTTTGAGCCTAATGTTTGGTATAAAAGGAACCTTATAGTATAAAAACACAGTTGGATTTTCTTACCATTCAAAGTCCACCAATGCCGATGTGATTATCGCTTAGTGCCAAAATTTATCCCTGGTTTCATAGAAATAAAATCTGGATTTATTTGAATGCTTTAATTTATCCTAGAGCACTTCCTTCAGAAAAAACCTCTCTCTCTCTCTCTCTCTCCCCCCCCCCCCAAAACTAAAAGTTTACATAGGACCTAACTTATTGCTTGTGTAAACAACATTGAAATGATTATAGACTTTTTATTGGACAATTCCAAGTTAGAAGAAACAGGGCATATTTTTCTTGGACAGAAATTGGGCTTCAATGAACCTAAATAAGAGGATTCATCGCCGTGAGTGGTATCCTTGTTAGAGTATCTGTGGGCATGAAGAAAATATGTTTTACTTGTACTCTCTAAATGTATATCCTTTGTATTTCTTAGACAATATAATTTGGTGATGCTTAATCAGAATGGCTTTTGCTCATGATAGTATTGCTGGCCCGTCTGATTCAATTCGTCTGCTGTCCCCCCCCCCCTACATGTTATGTTGTTGAGACTGTTATTTTTTATATTACTTCTGCTGGCCTTAATGAACCAGCCCTTTTCTTAGCTGTATGGTTGGCAACTTTATCCTGTTGTCTTTGCATTCAACATTCTAGATTCTTTTACAAGGTTGAGGTATTAAACTGCTGCATTCAATCGTACTGAGTGAAAAAAATTCAGGTTAGTCGAGTTGGCGAGTCGTATTTTATCAACTTAAAAACAGCTGATGAGCTTGATGCCTCATCTTTTATATTCTTGATCTCTGTTAAACTATCTTTCAGACACTAGTGTTTTAGTATTGTTCATTCTACTTTGAACGAGACCTTATTGAATTCTTTTGTCATGGTTTTTTCTTTTCTTTTCCCCTTCATCGTAAAATGAAATCAGAGTTGTTTGTATATTTCTCTGGTTTTAAGTTTACATGTTGCTTTGTTAACCTTTGAAATGCTTACATAGAAATAATTGCTTTATTCCAGGCTCACTTGGTGTTGTAATACTGCTTTGTTTATAATTCAGCCCTGTTAGCCTCTTGTATCACTGCTCAGCATGAACAACCAATGTGGTGAAGATCATGTAAGTCGTTGAATCTCGCTGATTGTTTTGTAGTATTAAAAATTTGGGAGTTTAAATGTGTTGTTTTGTTCAGGATGAAGCAACTGTCATTGGGTTTGAAGTGCCGAGATCACCCGAATCAAGTTATAATAATCCGTATCCCGGGAGTGAAGATGATGCACGTGACCCGCCAGTTGTCCCTCCTCACCTACATCATTCGTTGCTTAGCTACCCCTCAAGTCTGAATGCTTCTGGTAGTATCCCTTTACCAGAAAATGTGATTCTAAATCATCTTTACATTGAAAACAGCGAGGCACCTAGATCTGTAGTGGCACTTGGGTTTACTCACCGTTTTCGTTCAAAGCATGTTACTGTCGTGCTATACAAACCAGTACCGAGGAGGGGGAGTACCAGTACTTAAGATATGAAAACATTGAATGCGCCTTCACGTCGGGTTGGTTGGTTGGCCCTTGTGATGGGATTAGTTGCAATAGGCTCAGATAGGGAATTAGGGGAAAGAATATTGAATGTGATGAATTCAACGATTGCTATGTAAATTCAAGTCCGTACAAAATAATGATGCCACTGTCCATCAAATTCAACGATGAACCCTCCCCTAGTTGATGAAAATGAAATCAAGGGTACACATGAAAGTACATTTTTCAAATCCTTACAGATTTGCTTCATCTTCTAACATTTTATATTCTATATATTCGCTTTTTTATTAATCTGGGTCGATCTACAAGTATTAGTAGTTGTTCTAGAGATTCTCAATTTGATAATGAATGTTCAAATACCCTATAAAACTTGATTTTGTACATAGTCTATATATTCATATAATTTCATATTATTGTTTCTAATAATTTTAGAGATGATTATTTTAATATATGATTGATAAAATAAAATACATCTACGAGTGGTTTTTAAGAAGATGATAGATTTATATTTATTTACCTTTTAACTTTTTTTATAAAAAAATAATTTAAACACACTTATTAGATTATAAATATCACTTATGAAAATATATTTTTTTCTCTAATTTTGATCTAAATGATAAATTCAATTTTAAGATCACTTTATGATTTTCCCCCTCAGCCATGCAAAAGTTGAATTTTAGTCTATGTTTTTTTGAGTAGGCTCCTGCAAAATTGAATTAGCTAATAATTTACTTATTTACATTTTATAGTAAGAGCACTGAATTAGCTAATAATTTACTTATTTACATTTTATAGTAAGAGAATTAAATTATATTGAATCAAAATATAGGAAACGCATATTGTTTTTAAATACAATAGAGGGACCAAAAATATAATTTAACCTCTTTTTTATTCCATCATAGGTATTTATTACATGTAAATTTTGATAGTGTCTGTATGGTTTTTTTTTATATATTATAAAATCATGTTTAAAAAGTCATAAGTTGTGTATAATGTGGAAGAGACTAATAAACCTTTTCAAATTGATTAGAAAAGACGGTTGAATAAATGTAATATTAATTTAGATTAGAATAAAAAAGATATATAGTGTAACAGAGTCCAGGGTAGTTGGGAATCCTTAATCAAAGTCTAATGGAGTTGTTTTACATTAATTTAGATTAGAATAATGTGTCTTTAAAATTATTGAACAAGTAATTTAACCTAAAAAAATATAAGATGCTTTGATTAATTTTTTTAATGAAATTAATAAAAAATAAATTGAAAGAATTTTTTTTACACAAAACTTGACTTGTTGATCATCGAAATTCAAAGATTATTTATTTATTTTTGAAATAATTTTAAGTATTTACACAATAGTATTTGTTAATTATTTTTAAACTTAGAGATTGTTATTTATTTGTTTTTTAAATTTAAAAATAAATAGAATGTGATTTATTTTATAATATGGGATAAGTACAAGACATTATTTGTTTAAATATAACTCTCAACATTTAAACATTGAACGATCACACTCCTGACTTTTATGGTGCTTGAACCCGGATCCTCAGGAATAACAATAATTACTTTATCACTGAGGTAAGACTTGGGGGGTTGGTCATGGTTAGGAGTATGTAGGGGACCAACTAATAATGTTGGTCTAATACCTCATAGTTGATATAATATTTTGAAATGATGTTTGTTTAGATTTTTTTTTAAATAGTATGAGATAATATTTATTTAAAATTTTATCAATCACACATTCTACGTAGCTGCTCGAACCCGGAGGTTGTTCAATGGATTCAATAAATTTTAGTTCATTGTATTGTTTTTCAATCAAGTAATTTCAGTACCACATCATGTGCAGGTTCCTTGGGTTAGCTCAATTATAAATACCATACGTTCCCTCAGTACATTCATATATCCAAAAAGAAAAAGACTTAGCTATTTTCTTTGCATACATAGAGAGAATGGCAGAAAATGAAGATTCTATAGGGACTTCCATGCATGGAGTAACGGGCAGAGAGCAAACTTTTGCTTTCTCAGTTGCATCAAGTGACAACACCATGGCAAAATTTGCTCTACCCGTTGATTCAGAGCATAGGGCCACAGTTTTCAAAGTATTATCATTTGCTAAACCTCACATGAGAACCTTTCACCTTGCTTGGATCTCCTTTTTCACTTGTTTCATTTCTACTTTTGCTGCTGCACCCCTTGTTCCCATCATTCGAGATAATCTCGATTTAAAGCAGGCAGATATTGGTAATGCCGGGGTTGCTTCAGTTTCTGGAAGTATATTATCCAGGCTGGTTATGGGTGCAGTCTGTGACCTAATTGGTCCAAGATATGGGACTGCATTTCTTCTACTGCTATCGGCCCCAACTGTTTTCTCCATGTCTTTTGTTTCCGATGCACAGGGCTACTTAGCGGTCCGGTTCATGATTGGTTTCTGCCTCGCGACGTTCGTTTCGAGTCAGTACTGGACGACCATAATGTTCAATGGCAAGATCATAGGGCTTGTCAATGGATGTGCTGGTGGATGGGGTGATATGGGTGGTGGAGCCACTCAACTTTTGATGCCCTTGGCTTTTAATTTAATCAAAATGGCTGGTGCAACCCCTTTCACTGCCTGGAGGATTGCCTTTTTCATCCCTGCCTGGTTTAATGTCATTATGGGCATCCTTGTCCTAACCCTAGGCCAAGACTTGCCCGATGGAAACCTAAGTACCCTTCAAAAGAAAGGTGATGTTTCCAAAGATAAATTCTCCAAGGTAAAGTTTCTTTTAACTTGCTATGATCTATGACTATATGATTCAACAAATATGATGCTAATTTGCTTTCATTTGTTCAGGTTTTTCGATACGCCGTTACAAACTATAGAACATGGATCTTTTTCCTTCTTTATGGATTCTCAATGGGCATTGAATTGACTATTAACAATGTCATTTCAGGATACTTTTACGACAGGTACCGACTATCTTGATTTTGAAATTTCCAGAAGAAATTACGAGCATATTACCAAGGATGGACCTAAGCAGGCGGGCGGGAGCGGTTGCCTCTTCAAAAAAATATAAAATTATCTTATATTTTAAATTTTTCTATGTAATTTTATTGAAAATCCGTTTTCGCCTCTTAAATTTTATATGTTCAAGTTTACCCCTATTTCTTTTTTTAAATTTAAATTCGCTTCTAACATAAAATCTTATGTTCGTTACTACATATAACTATATGAATTTTTGTATGTACAAACAGATTTAGTCTGAAACTTAGCACTGCTGGGACTATAGCAGCAAGTTTTGGAATGGCCAACTTCTTTGCTCGTCCCTTGGGTGGCTACGCCTCCGATGTAGCAGCAAGAATGTTCGGCATGAGAGGCAGGCTATGGACCCTTTGGTTCTTCCAAACACTAGGAGGTGCCTTCTGTATCTGGCTCGGCCGAGCTGACTCCCTCCCCATTGCTATCTTAGCAATGATCCTTTTCTCAATGGGCACCCAAGCTGCATGCGGTGCAACCTTCGGGATCGTCCCATTTGTTTCACGACGATCGTTGGGACTGATATCAGGCCTCACCGGCGCAGGGGGGAACTTCGGGTCGGGTTTGACACAGTTAGTGTTTTTCTCCGGCTCCAGATTCTCGACCGCCACTGGTCTTTCGTTGATGGGCGTCACGGCTGTTGTCTGCACAATTCCGGTTGCGTTTCTGCACTTCCCACAGTGGGGAAGCATGTTCCGTCGTCCCTCGAAAGACCCAATCAAATCCACCGAGGAATACTATTACCTGTCGGAATGGAATGATGATGAGAAACAAAAGGGTTTACATGAAGGAAGCGTCAAATTTGCCGAAAACAGTCGATCGGAACGTGGGAAACGGGCCGGTAATGAGGTTTCTTCTGCACCCACTCCCCCAAACTCCACACCGGTCCACGTTTATTGTACACTGTATTAGTTTCAATCCACATATAATTAGCAATAAATTCGAGCATAGCTAATGCTGAAATTATCATATATTTTACCTTTTCTTATATTAATAATATATTCTATTTCTTAAAATTTATAAATCGATTTTTTAAAATTTTAAAACCTATCTCTAATGAAAAATCAGTCGTTCATCACTTGATGATAAATATACCTAACGTTGTTGAATGAATCTTAAGATTTATGATCACTTAAAATTTAAATCTTTTTATTTTTTAATTTTAAAATACTAAATTCTAAAAATTTATTATACACCAACGTAATCATACTGATTTAGAGTGATCGATAAATATATTTGATAATAAATAGATTTTAACCAAAAAAATGTTAATCCTAGATATCAAGAAATTAATATAAAACAATATATTTTCAAGAGATAAATTTTGATGTGATTTAGATCTTATTTATCAAATGATAAGTTCAGAAATATTTTATGCAATAAGCATATATATTAATAATACAAACTTTTTATATATGATGGATATAAATAAAATTTCAAGTTGAACATAATTAATAAAATGAATAATTAATCGATTTTTTTAATTTTAAGATGGACACGTGCCCATCCCGAGAACAAGCTGCATCAGTCACTGTTTTTACCTCAACAAATGAAAGAAACAATAATATATTATAAATATAGATATCAAGAAGAATATAGATATATATATCTTATATATCTCAAAAATCGATATGTATCTCAAAAATCGATATATATCAAATTTTTAATTAGAATTTGAATTAATACCTAATAATTATTGTATTATAAATTTTAAATTTTTATCAAATTAACGTGTATTTTGTCTTACTTTTTCACCATGTACAGATGATTTATTAGGTACGAAAATTGGCTTTTATGAAGTGTTTATTCGAACTTTGAGTGCTAATGAAGAATACAGACCCGTCCGCGTTGAAAATCTGGCTCTTCCAATAACACGGGAGAGGATTTTCTAGAGAAAAAGGATAAATACTTAAAGAGCCCTTCAGCTAATTTTGTTTTGTTAAATAAGTCCTGTACTCTCGGTCTACCCAAATAAGTTCTAAACTTTGATTTGAATTTAAATTAACCTATATTTCAAATGCATTAAGCATAGATTCAATACAAGTTAGAGATTAAATGTCTATCGGTATTAGAGCTCCTATTAAAATGTAAGGACACTTATTTGGGTCTCATAAAAGTATTAAGGGGTTATATGAAGAAGCTAAAAAAGTTAAAGGGCTTCTAGAATATTAACCATATGCTAACAATATTCAAATGCTTTCAATGTTCTTCGAAAAACAAATTCAAACACTCATTAAACCCATATTTCCAAAACTTAAATTATGTAGCTTATACAAGTTGGGATTTATATTTTTAAAGTAAATGATTAAAAGTTTCGAGCTGAAACTCCGCATTTCCCTTAAAATGTGGGTTCAATACTCATAAGGAGTAAAATTTCTCTTCAAAAAAATAAATAAAACTTCAATTCTCTTTTATTTTAAAATCGTAACCTAATTATTAATGTTGGTAGTATTTTTTTTAAAATATAATTTGCTAATCTTACATGGTGATTAGGTTACTCATGTTGCATCATCTTTATGTTTATTAATAAATTTTGTTATTATTGTTGTTGTTATAATATTTAGGAGATACCATAGGTTTGAGTGCATTTAAACACACAATAACCTTTAATTTGTTGGATTTATATATGTTATTAGTAGTTTTAATTATTGTGATAGACATAAAATCTAAATATAAACGTAGTAGGGTTTTCCCTGGGTTTTTTTTATTCATACGTGGCTCTTTCTTTCTTTTTTGCTTGGCCGACGGTGACATTAACCTTAGTATTGGTTGTCGACAACTGCTGTTTCTTATTTGTCATTTATTTTTATAATTGGTAGTTATTTTCTTTTTTCTTTTTATTTTTCAATAATTATGCCTTTAGGACGCGTTTTCTCTGTCTTTATGACATATTTTATTTGTCTTTATGATATGTTTTCTATGTCTTTATAACACGTTTTCGGTCATTTGATCGTTCTTTTTGTTTTTATCTTTTTTTTTTCCAGGGTTTGATTAGACGATCTCTTGATTGATCAAGATGACATTTATTATCTTGACGATCTTCCCTGCTTTGGGCCCTCAGATTGATTAGATATGTGGTTGCATTCGTGGATAGCTTCTCACGTCGCTCGACTCTGATATGCGATTTTTCGATGGTCTTTCAGTAGTTTTCATCACTTTTTATGATTCGTTTACCGATGCAGTCAGATCTATTCGTATATTATTTTGATTGGGTTTTTAACCCTTTTTTTTACTTGGTCCTACATTTCAAGTGACTAGTTTCTTGTTTAATGGTTGCAAACATTTATCGTAATTTTGAGTGTTTTTCTTTTTAATAAGATTAGATACTTTTATTAAAAAAACCATTATTGTGCTCGACATAATAATAAAATTAACTCTTAAAATTAATATGTTTTTCCAACTCAACTCGTAAAGTTTTTCCTACGATGCAAACCTATATGATTGAAGTGTTCGTAAAATAAACTCGATTGAAGGAAAGTTGGACAAAATTATTAAATGATATTTATGAAGCTTATGGAATAAGGTACAATCATTTATAATATTTGTGAAGCTTTAGCAAGTCATTTTATATCTCAAAGCATGGGAATATGAGTATCGATATCTTAGTAGGGATAGATATCTAAGTAGATTACTGACATCTATTGTAATATGACCTTAAATTATCTTTTATCAATTACCAGTTGATATAGTGGTTGAGCTTCTCAAATAATATCTACGGTTCAAATTATGATTTTGTAAATGGAATGGACCGAGTTAAGAATATTACTCATGTGTTGCAATATTCACTTTAAAGTGATTGGCCAATGGATTAATATTGATAGTTATAAAAAAAAATATGTTTTCTATATTATCCAATCAACGTTCTTTAGAAATTAAAATTTTCAAATGTCTTTCAATAAACAATACCCCTTTAGCTTTGGGCTACCAATCCAACTGTTCCAACAAACATGGATGACATTTATATGTTAGGACCATGGTTTTTAGAACAGGACCGGTTAGCGAACCGGTCATGTTACCGGTTCACTGGTTCAACCGGTCTAATCGGTTCGATCGTTCGGAAAAACCAGACGACATCATAATTATTTAAAAAATTAAATAAAAAATATCAAAAATATTTAATAAAAAAATATTTTTTATATCACAAGTCATATTCAAAGCAAGTCATAACATATATAAGTTAAAAATCATAAAATCAAGTGAAACAAAATGATTCAAATTAACTACAACATAATATTTAAGGTAAAACATATTAAATAATAAATATAATTATATAACTATAATTAAAAAATAAATTTGGGGTTAAAAAATCATAACAAAATGATTTTTTTTTGTTTAATTTAAAAAAAAACAATTCCACATGGCTAAGAAACATAGAAGAGCATCCCAAAAGTCTAAAGAGTAAAAATATGAGAACAAAACAATCTCACATTGCTAAGAAACATAGAAGCGCATCACAACTAACTTCTATACATAATAGAGGTAATTTGACATTCAAAATCATGGAACCTTTTGGTGAGCATTGAGTGAACTATTATTTCACTTCAATCAAGCTCGAATTTTAGGCTTCATTCGAGCTTCTAATTTTTTTTTGAGTTCAAGCCTTTTTGAGTTCAAGTTTCAATATTATATTTCGAGTTTGAGTTGAACTTGATAATTTTTTAGCTTGTGAGTTTGAGTTGAGCTTACTTTTAAAGTTTTCAAATTTGAGTCGAGCTCAGCAATACTCAAGTTCGACTTGGCTCGTTTAACAAACGACGTTGTTTGTTTTAATTTTTAAAAAAAAAAACAAAAATCTCTGTTTTTCCCGGTTTTCAGCCGGTCCGGTTCGAACGGTTCATCGGTTCTGGCCAGTTCACTAATAACGGTTCAACCGGTTTAGATTGAACCGGACTAAACAACGATTTTCGGTTAAACCGGTTGAATCGACCGGTCCGATCCGATTTTCAAAACAGAGGTTAGGACTTGAAATAGGCCATCAAAACTACCAAAATGGCCGATTATACTAATGTTTTCTTGGACTAATGTTTGGACATGTAAAACTCATAACTTTCTTGAACGGTGTTAGTAACATGAAGAAATGATTATTGTTACAGAGAGTATTGTCTGATTTGACATTTGGCCTTGACTTCCTTGATGAAGATATCCATGTTGGTCTCTGATGACACTGCAGTTTCCAATATTGTCCTCATCTCTTTTACTTTGTTCCTATAATGATCCCCCTGATTGTCCACTCATCAGCCGGTTGACATTATCCGAAACTTGCTCCTTTGAAATGGGTGTTGTGTTGCTCAAATTAATCCCCATCTTCCAATCATCAACCACCAGTTTCCTGTTGGTGAATTGATCAGTTAACAAAGGGTAACACAGCAATGGAACCCCACACCAAGTACTCTCCAGTATCGAATTCCACCCGCAATGCGTTAAGAACCCTCCGGTTGCAGGGTGAGCCAGCACCGCATTTTGACAGCACCACGGTACGATCATCGCACGGTCGTTCACCTCCTCTCTGAATCCAAAGGGCAAGGGATCGACCACATCGGAGCTCACAATATCAGGTCGAAGAACCCAAAGGAAACTCACTTTGCTAAGGGCGAGCCCTTGAGCTATCTCTATAAGCTCGGTTCTTGTAACGTGGGCGTAGCTACCAAAAGAAACGTACAAAACCGAGCCGGGAGGCTTCTTGTCGAGCCATTGAGTGCAGTCAGACTCGGGCCAGAGGCTTGTAGCCGCACGGCTCTTGGTGAATCCCGGTGGGAAAATAGGTCCGATTGCGTAAAACGGGACTTTGGCATGTAGAGCTGTTATGGTATCGAGCTCAAGTTCTTGAACCGTGTTGCATAGAACAAAATCTGCATTTTTGACATCTTGGAATGCAGTGAAAATGATTTGATGAACAACCGATGTTGTATCGGTTTCTTGAAGGTAAGACATCGTGTCCTTGGGTTCAACCGCTGCAACTCCCGGTATGTAGTTTATGGCGTCTTCACGACGATCTGAGAAGAAGAAGAAGAAATCAAAGAAAAAGATTAATATTTGCAGAACCAAGATTTTCACCCTCAAATTTAAAGCTTACCTTTCTTGCCAAAGTGACCATTTTTCTTGAGAAGATCCAAGTGATAGTATAACGTAAACACCAAAGCCGGTTCCGTCCAATACGACACATAAAGCATCCCGAACTTGTTTGCAATCTTCGAAGGCCAAACGAAGAAAGTATCGGCAATCAAGCAATGAATCTTCTCCCCCGACTCAACTATCCGACCGATCAGTTCATCGACATGGGCCGAGAAAATATGCAACAATGAAGCCATGAACTGGTCGTGGTTCAACGACCGGTCGAACCCGAGAGGGAGACCGTCTGACACCGTGGTGTACGTTATGTCGAGGCCCGATCCTCGGACCGTGGCGAAGATATCAGAACCGATCTCCGGGTGAGCCTTGGCGGTCTGGTGGTGTACGAACTGTGTGTTGACGAAGGTGACGGTGAAACCTTTGGATGCTAGCTTTATGGCTAAGTTGACGGACGGGATTACGTGGCCTTGAAGAGGGTAAGGTACTAAGATTGCGTGGAGCTTTTGGGTCGAACTATCCGCCATTGTTGAAAGCTTGAGAATAAACTGGGTAGAGCAAAACGAAAGGCTTTCTTTATAGAGCTTGAGTTATTGACGGAAGTCCGTTCGTCGACGTCGTAACTAATTTCGCGGTGAACAAACTATAAACCTTTATTTTAGTAAACTAATGGCTTTCTTTTTCTTTCTATGTTTAGCCTTTCTTTTCTTTTAGTTTTGATTTTAATAATTTTTTAATTTTCTTCGTTCATTTTGATTTCTTTATTTTTCATAATTTAATTTTTCAATTTTTAGTGTCTTTTACATTTATTTTCTTAAATATTTTAATTAAATTTTAAATATTTTTTATTAAAAAAATCCTTTTAACTCAACATAAAAAAATTTAACCCTCAACCTTATCATCATCCATAATGAATTGTCACGTTGCTATTATGAATCATCATATTAGTGTCGCAAATTACTATGTTAGTATTTAAGGGTGAACAAAACTCTACTCGACTTAAAAAATCGATTTTGTTTTAATTTTGAGTTACTCAAAAAATAAAAAATTTGATCAAATATTTTGATAGTTTTATGATTTAGTCCCTGATTTCATTATTCCTTAAATTATTCTTTCATTTTAAGTCTATTTTTTACCTAATTTGAACCACATATTCCTAGACCATCAAGAATTTACTTTCAATTCCCTTTTTTGATAACAAAGTTTTATAATTTTCAATTTAGTCCCTCAATTTTTATAATTTCCTTATTTCTTCAATTCATCCTTTATTTTAAGTCCATTTTTATCAAATTTGAACCACATGCCCATACACCCTATAGAATACGTATGTAACTTCCATTCTTATATTTTACTAAAAATGCACTCTTTTTTTATTTAGTCACTTAACTCTGCATTTTACTCAATTTGGTCTTTTGATTGTAATTGTTTGCAAATTCTTTCTTCCCATCAATTAATTGACTCCTTTATACCCTCATCAATATTTTACCCCCAAGATATTTTCTTTAAAATATAATATTGTGAATATATTTTATAATTTTATATTGTATTTGATATATTAAATAACATTAAAATGTGAAAAGAATATGAAATATATATTTTTCATAGTCAGAAAGTCTAAAAATTGGAACCAATTCTTACCATAATACTATAAATAATTATAATAAAATTAGTATAGAATTCGAATGACTCAAGTCAAATTTCTTAAACTAAACTCAACTCGAAAGTAATATCATCTGCTTGCTGTTTCAATGTTTCTTCCCGCTCTTATTTACCAGGTGATTATAGACTAGAGTATCACACGGCAATCACTTTGCAACCTTTTTGCTCCTTCATTGTGGTAGTTGTTTGTTTAGATATTATATTAACTTCATCTGATCCTGTTTCCAGCCACAATTTCTTGATCTAGCATTTGGTGCAGCTTTGGCTGTTTTCTTGGTATTAGAGATTATTCGAGTAAGTTGGCTGAACTTTTAGATATTTTGTAGATGTTGACAATTTATCAAGTAATCATGTTGAGTGAAGTTGCTCTACTGTGTCCAAGTGTTGACTAGTTAACCATACCGTAATGATCACCATATACAGGCTAGGTTTATGTTCTTGAATGTACTGGAGTAGTGTTCATTTTTTTTTATAGATGTTTCTTGGTTGATGTTGCTGAATCTTTCCTTTTTATCCAGGTTTGGAGAATTTGGCCTTTAGAGCTTCTTGTACATCAGTTTATGAGTGCCTTTGCAGATCATTGTGACTCGGATCTTATTATTGTCAGGTATTACATTTTGACCATTGCTGGAAACTATATGCATATAATTATTTCAAGCAATTCCAATTAAGGTCCCTGTTTTACTCGTGTAGCCACTTTTCACTCTTGTTGGGATGTGCACTTCCTATCTGGATGTCCTCTGGGTTCAATGATCGACCTCTTACCCCTTTTGCTGGAATTTAAGCCTTGGAATTGGAGATACGATGGTAAGTTTGCTTATTTTTGCCTTTGTGGCCTAAATTTCTTGGATTTGTTCTTTTCTGCCGTGTCTTCCATCTCCCTTTCCAATAATTTTGCTAGGGCCCTTGATCCTTTTCTATAAAGAATAAGGAAAAAGTCACATTATGATCATAATTATCACTGTTTGTTGATATCGTGCTTCATGTCACAATGGTTATGTTATCACTTGCTGCTCTTTCAATTTTCTTTGATGTCAAATTTGGCTCCTGAACTAAAATTACATGCAATTTACCACTTGGATTTTCTCTGTATCAAATGATTAACAGTGTTAACATCCCATTCAAACTTGGCCAATGTTTTTAAACCTAGACAAGCATTATGAACCCCATGGGAGTCCAACTTATGAACCAAGCCAGTCTAGAAAGAGAGAGAAGGGTGAAGTCTTAGGCTCTTAGCTATTTTTTTGTATTAAGGATTAAAAAAACCTACATCACTACACCAACAGTGCCACTATGAACCCCATTGGAGTCCATCTTATGATGGCTGTTTGACAGAATAATCTGAATGAAACAGTGGATAATTGAGAACTAGTAGAGGAATAAGTATGAAAAAGTCTACAATGTGATAGAATTGGCTGCCTGCCTGTTACTCCTGCCAAGTGGCTCTTAAAGTTGTAATCATCTTGCTTTTATGCTAGGCATCAATGGTTGGCCACAAGTATGGTGCACTTAGGTGGAGCAAAACTGGCAGTAAGGATTTTCGTCTTCCTTTCTTTCTGTCTGCTTTGATTTTTTTTTTAATGCTTAAGCTTTCCTTTGAGGACATACCTGCTAATTCTAGCAAATTTCTTACACGTCATAGAAAACTATTGAAAGCACTGCAGCTGGTATAACATCTGTCCTCGTTGCTTGCTTGGTTCTGGTTCCACTTTTGGCATCCACTGGATACATTCTAACTCAGGTCTCTCTCTCACCCACATTCTTATGTTGACTGACATATTCATCATTAGATCATCTGTTGTAACTTATCCTAGAATAAATTTGTTCACTTAAACATCCTATTTGGGTACTTCAGGTTGTTTCTGTTTTTTTTTTCTTTTAAATGATCTTGTTAAGTTATTCGAATTGGTTTCGTGGGCCTAATTTAATTATTGTTACATCGCACATATTTGATTACATAAATCCCAATTTCCACAGCACTGGCTCCCTATTTTAATAGCTGTGACCACAAGCGGTCTGTTGGAGGCCTACACAACGCAACTTGATAATGCTTTTATACCACTAGTCTTCTACAGCCTTCTTTGTTTGTAAATGCACACTTCAGCCTTCCAGACGGATTACACAGATGATAATTCCTTACTCGCATGCTTCCATCTAGAGTTTTTTTTTCTCTTTTATTGTTTTAGTAGATATATTACGAACTACCATCAGGGAACACAGAGAGCCTGTTGTATACCATGCCAATCGTAGTTTCGAAGAATTGCTTGTAGATGAGCCTTAATGTTTGATACTTTGTTGTACGTGGCAGTTATGAGCCCTCAAAAAGAGGTAAGATTGTTGAATGTGGTTTATTACATGAATGGAATTATTTTCATCATAAGTTGTCCTTGTAATCTTATTCTAACATCACTCAAGTAATTCGACTTACGGTAATCTTGCTGGCATCTACAGCCATTGTAGTAAATCATTGTGCAATGTTAATCGTAACATGTATGAAGTTGTGTTTTCGTTTTTTTTTTCTTTCATTTCTTTGAATCCAAATTTTGCTTCGCTTCCTGCCTTCCATTGGATGTGCAAAGCCCCGCTTCGTGGCATTGGCATTTCACTCCCAACCCCTCCATAATAAAGGCAAATAATAAGTCTCCCGTTAACATGAATGTACAAATTTAAGTAAAAGATGGCCAATGATATTATAATGGACGATATCAGTTAACGTATGACTTTCATATTTTTTTATTAAATTAATAAATTATAGGGTAAACGGCTATTTAGTATCCAAACTATCAGTTTTGGTCTGTATATTTAACGTTTAGTTTTTATAGGTACACATGATACCTATTTTATGGGTAAATTGTATCATTCATCACTCAAGCATCTTCTCTCTCCTATTTTCCTCACTAAAGTTTAAACTTTTTTAATTTAATTACTTTAACTTTCAAATTACTCTTTATTTACAAAATTATTTTTTCTAATTTTTAATTATATATTAATAAACCAATAATAAAAATGTCATATCATAAAAAATATTAATAAAATAAATTAAAGTGATTAAAATAGGAACAATTTCAAAATTGAATAATTGAATTAATTTTTCTGAACTTTAATACTAAATAGGAATAAAAGGATAGTTGAGTGATGAATGATATAATTTACCTATAGAAATATAGTGTCTTGAAACAAAAATTAAATATCGGTTATGATTTTGAAAAAATAAAAAATAAATGTTAGGTATGATTTTTATATAGAGAAAATCGCCTCAGTGACCAAAAAAAAGTTATAATATACGATTTTAACCAACTTTTTTTGGATTTGCCAAAATGACCAACAAAATCGCAACGCGAAATAAAAATCGCAACGCGATCCCCAGAATCGCAAATCAGTTTCCAAAATCGCAACGCGATTCTTGAAAATCGCAATGCGATAGTACAAATTCGCATTGCGATTTTCCAAAATCGCAACGCGAATATGAAAATCGCATTGCGATTTTCCAAAATCGCAACGCGAATATGAAAATCGCAACGCGAACACATAAATCGCAACGCGTATCCGTAAATCGCAACGTGTATCCGTAAATCGCAACGCGTATGGGTAAATCGCAATGCGTATCCGTATATCGCAACGCGTATCCGTAAATCGCAACGCGATATTTAAAGCGCCATTATAATCGCTACGCGTATTTTATTTTCAAATTACAAAAAGAATATTAAGACAAAATCCCGTAATCGCAACTCATAACCTAAAACCTAAAATCACAACTCAGTCCCATCTCCATCTCTCACTCTCTACGGCGAAGAAATCCGTCCCCATCTCCGAAGATTTCCGTCCCCATCTCCGGCGAAATCCCTCACAACCATTCACGGTCAGAAATCCCTCAC